CCTACAGTGCTGCCCTGTCAGTAATTAATTACCTGTTTTAGCATTAATTAAGCAGATGTGTCTAATTGTTCTTTAGCACATAAAAAAGAAAACACACTGCTTTCCTCCACTCTCTGTGTTGATAATATATTTTATCCATCCCCTCCATCTGTTTTGAATATATTTCATATTTTTATTTCACACTTTAAAGTTAAAACATCGATAAGCTGATATTACACATTTATGAAATGCTGACATTGGTACAGGTATTTTTATAAATAGTACTTAAAAAACAGCATGCATCTTTTAATTTATTATTTATTGAAATATATGACTATGACACAAACCCTTGAAAAATAAATACACTGATTTTTGCCATACGTCACACAACTTTTAATAGAATAGGGAAATAACCCATGAAACATAACACAAACCATGGATAACACATCAGTAAGATAAAGGAAAAATAAGAACATCGACGCAACGCTAAATTACTATCAAATGTGCATCTATTGTTCTATTGGTGTCACGCGCTTACACACACACACACACACACGTGCGAACAAATACACACACACGTATAAATACACACAGTTACACACTTGTAGGCTGTTGTATAATAATTTGCTTGTTCGTATGATATGCATATTTGTAATTTTCCACTTTGGTGGACGTTGTATTTGCTGTCGCCCCTCCCCTAACTTTTTGTCCATTGGCGTCGATTCCTGCAGATATAATATCAATCCACCTAGAAAAAGCACTTAAGTTGACTTTAGGGCTAACTCTAACAGTTATTAATTCAATTGCAAAAATTATAAAATTGTATGTCACCCCCCCCCCCCCCCCTCACTTCAGACATGGATTGAATCATAAGTTATTACAATTTTTAATAAAAACTATTTCCTCAGGCAAATTTTGCAACATTTAAATTTAGTTTAGGTAACTTTTTGCTATTTTTGCCTTTGTGTCATCCCCCTCAAAATTGTGTCACCCGGTGCGTTCCGCCTCCTACCCCCCCCCCCCCCCCCATACCCTCATTATGCCTCATTATATATATATATATATATATATATATATATATATATATATATATACACTAGCTGTCAAATACATTTTAAAAGTACTCATTGAAGACCATAAAATATAATTTATCAAACAAAACAACACAAAACATAACACAACCAGAGACGCAACACAACCGAATTCGTAATCCTTGTAAAAAAACAATTTGATATGATGGAGTATTAAAAAGATTTAAGACAAGCGAACCACATTATGTGAGTTAATCACTCTCTTAAAAAGTATATGTAGGCTTTTATAAGTCTGATCTCTTATTTGCAATTTTGAAACTCAGCTATAATAATTATTTCTAAATTATTTGACATAAAAGTTTATTCAATTTTACTGTGCAAACAATTTTGTCGAACAATAGAAATAAATATATTAATATTATTATAAATTAATATAAATGCTAAACTATTGAGACAAAAAGAAAGTTAATAAAAGCTATGTTTATATAAAATGGTACTCAAACAATGTTAATCTTTGAACAGCTAGGTTGATGAAATTTCATATATAAGTATTGTATCAAAATTATAGTTCTATGTCAACTTTTCATCAATTTCTGAAAACAGGAAGTGGAACTTATTCTACTTTCAATTTCTCAAAAGCCTATAACTTGAGTACTGTTTCAGATAGATAAATGAAATTTCACATGTAAGTAAAAGATCTAACTCTCCGCCTTCTGCAAAATTTTGAGTAATTTCCGTTGACCGGAAGTAGTAATTTACGCCAGTGGCGTAGCTAGGTCGGGTGTCACCCGGTGCGGCACTTAATGGAGTCCACCCCCCCCCCCCCCCCCCAGAAGTGTAGCGACCCTTCCCGGGGACAAACTTTCAAATTTTTGATTTGCACACCCCCCCTCAAACTTTCGATTTGCACCCCCCTAAATTTATAAGTTCAACAGCAGATTTGAAACTTGAAGTTTTTCTTATCTAATTTTGTTGAGTGAATAAAAATGTCAAGAGTTTCTCAATTTGGTTGAATGTCATTGAACATACCACCGAACAGCCACAACCACATATTAACAAACACTCCAGCAATCACTGTGGCTAACATCAAATACAGCTCAACAAGTACATCACCAAGCTGAGCAAACACCCTACTCACAACCACATTAACAACCACAAAACAACCACATTAACTACCACGCCATCAACCAAACACTTCAACCACTAAAACCAACAACCACAGCAGCTACTATACCATCAACCAAACAATTCAACCACTAACACCAACAACCACATCAACTACCATACCATCCACCGAACACTTCAACCACTAGCAACAACAACCACATCAACTACCACACCATCAACCTAACACTTCAACCAAAAACACCAACACCCATATTAACAACCCCACCAAACATCCACAAACAAAAGGCGGCTTCTCTTTTGTTGTCTACTTCATAGTCGGTCATTACCGCGGTGTCGGGTATATATTTTGGGTAGACTCGTTCGACGCATTAGTTTATAGATGCAAGTCATCTGAAACATTCGATCTGTCTATGATTCAAAATAAGAGAAACTAGATTTTTTGTTATTCATATTTAGTATGGATAAAGTTCTTAGTATTCGTGAGATTCATAAAGTGATGCACAATGGATATGTTTATGTTAAAAAAAATATTTAACAGGAGGTGGGGTTAGTTTTGATTGTGAAAAGCGTCGAGGAAATGGAACAAAAATGTCTGAATGCAAAGCAAAGATGAAAATTAAAAACGACACTGTTGTTGGATTTCTGCATGAACACACACATGCATCAGATGTAACACAATTTGAAGTTCTTCAAGTTCGACACACTATTAAAAAAGGGCATTTGAAACAGAGGAAACACCAAAACAGATTCTAGGTAGAGAGATGCAAAATCTCAGTGAAGCAGCGTCTGTGCAGATGGTTCCTATTCCACATCTGCGGCGTCATATTCGTAAACAGCGACAAGCTAATCATGTTCAACATCCTCATTCAACCGATCGCTCTACCATTGAACTGCCGGATGAATACAAGAAACTATCTAGTGGTGAGAATTTCCTATTATTTGATAGTGGTGTTTGCGACAACAACAGAATTTTAATATTTGGCACTAATGAATCATCCTCTTTATTAGAACAACCTTTACATTGGTTTATGGATGGGACTTTGATCATTGTGCCTGATATATTTTTTCCAATTATATACAGTTCATGCCTTCATCAGCGGCGTTGTCATTGCATGCCTGTACTCTTTGCTGCCAAACAAAGCGACTGAAACTTATCGCCGTCTTTTTATGAAATTAAAAGAACAAATGCCGGCCACCCGGCCTGTTTCAGCTATGCTGGATTATGAAAAATCCGCCTTGAATGTTGTTTCTGAATGTTATGAAGCCATACACGCCCAAGTAGTTTTTGTCATTTGACACACAGCCTATACCGAAAAGTACATGCTTTTGGATTTCAAACTAAGTACGTGGATGAAGCAGATTTCGCCGTCATGGTAAGGATGATAGGTGCTTTGGCTTTTGTGCCGATAGCAGACGTTGAAATGTTTTTGAAGAACTTCGAGAACATACGGAAAATACCAATGGAATGCAGCAACTGCTGGATTATTTTGAGGATAATTATATTGGAAGAGTAAGACGTCGAGACCGAGCTGTTCCCCTTTATGAGCCTCACATCTGGAACATACACCACAGGGTGGACAATGAGTTACCTCCCACCAACAACAGCGTCGAGGGTTGGCACCGTAAAATGCAAGCTGTTGTTGATGCTGACCATCCAAATATCTGGCGCTTCATCAATATTCTCAAACGAGAACATGGTTTTCACAAAGTGGTCATCGGTCAGCGGCTGGGCGGACATCCAGTAGAACCACCAAGAACAAAATATCGTAACATGAATTCTCGTATTTTAACATCGTTAAGGACTAGCCAACAGAAATTACATGGACTATTTAAGAGGGATAGCTTACAATATACAAATTTAAATGTCTGTAAGTTTTCCTCCATTTTCTAATTCAGAAATGTACTATTTTACGTTGTCAGTTTTTTTTATTTTACTCATGTAAGTTCATTTAGATTTTGTTGTAGCCTATATATTTTTGAATATTAAAATTGTAAGTTTTCCTTTTGTTTTGTTTTTTATTTCAGAAAATAAAAATTCAAAAATGTATATTTTATGTTGCTTTTTTAAACTTTATTCATGTTTTTACAATTAGATTGTAATTGTGTTTATTTACTCTGTATGTACCGGTCGGGCCCAAACTTGATTAATCAACATAGATTACTTCATGTTAAAAGTAATTCAAATTGAAATGGCTAATGTATAGGCCCCTATTTAATCTCTACTTTTGCACGACATTGTTGTGTCTCCCACTGATATGCATATGTCCGATTGCACATATAATGTGTACCATACAGATATTATGGCTTGATCTAGTAACCAAGAGCTAAGCTCAAAATTAAAACATTGATTGAATAATAATAAACATTTGTTTTCCACGTAAAGTCTAGTCTTTTAACTCGAAAGTCTCAAGTTCGAATCGGAGTACAAGTCCGTAGATTGTACTTGAGCCCACGTTGCTCTTATGAGTAACTGATTCAAGTTAGGGAAAGTTGCGCGTTGACAAACATAGAACTATAGAACAACAATAAAATATGTTGAAACGACATCTTATTCACAATTAAAGAAACATTAAAGTATATGTATACATATTTATTGTCTAATTAATATCAGTTTCGTACATAATGTTTTATCTAAAAATATGTTTATATGATAAATCTGAAGATTAGTTTCTTGTTACATTTTTTTATTTAAACAGTCATTTATTCAGTTAAATGAAACATTTAAAAGGAAAATAAGCAAAAATAAACAAACAAACACTCACTTCAATATTACCTAATCGTACCTACTAAGAAAAAGATTTTTGTGTATTATTTATTTCTAGTTTGTGATGAATAAATCATTACAAGATAATGTATTGAGAGCTAAATAAATGTGAAAATTTTATAATTAATTCATTTCTGGAATTTGTGAGCATAAAATTTTTTCTTGTTTTGATAGTTTTAGTTCTTATAAAGTAATTGGAAAATATTTTTCTTTTTTATCAATGCTTTTTGTCAGTATATAAAACAGAAGAAAATAAATAATAATTGTGTTTATAATAATGTAGCCATCCATTCAACTTTGTTGATTTCACACTGACAATAAAAAAAGTTCAAAAATATTTTGTACAGTCTATATTACATGATTTAATAGCCAGTTTAGACGTTTTTTTACTGTATAAAATCTTTTTCTAAAGAAATCATTATGGCTTGAGGTAAAAAAAGGTAATTTTTTTTTACATTTTAACAGTTTCAAAGTGCAGTACTAAAAACTTAACATTTTTAAGGATCCTTTTAAAGCAACCAAATCTTGTTTGAACATTAAATTCTGTTACTGATGAAGCATTTTATTTTAAATTTATTTGTTAAACATTTCTTTCATTTTTCAGAGACATCCTCCTCTTAGTGCAAGTACAAGATGTAAGACAGATCCTCCAGCCACTTTATAATCACTTGCTGTTTTTTCATCATTCATTTGTTTACCACTGAAAATAAGTCGCTGCTTAGCAGTGTTTAAAGAGCCACTATATATATATATATATATATATATATATATATATATATATATATATGTGTGTGTGTGTGTGTGTGTGTGTGTATGTGTGTGTATATATATATATGTATATATATATATATATATATATATATATATATATATATATATATATTAAATTAATAGTTTTAAATCTGTAAATATGAAATAATATTTATTCATATTAAAAAGATACACGTGTTTCGCACAAAATCTATTAAAGTATTTTAGCAAGCTCTACTAGAATAATACAAGTAATTACATAATATAGCTATAACCATTGAATATTTACATAAGTTACATCAAAGGGAGCATTGGCCTTACATGTCTTTTGAAAGTTCGTTTAAATCTGGCTCATAACTTGTTTTTAGTTTCAAGCACGCCTCTAGATTTGTATTTGTTTGTTGGTTTCTTGCTTTATTTTTTTTTTATTATATGTACGAGAACTCTAGCTAGCACAAATCTGTTGACCTAAAGATCCTAAGTACTCCAGATGTCAACTTATTCACCGTACTGTAGAATTTTGCAAGAATATTGCATGCATTATATAGGAGTGCTCTTTTAGAGCTATTCAGTTGTGCAGCGTAACGCGCATGTTTTACTGGACCTTCAAATATTTTTACTTGCTCTTGACTTCTGTGAATTTACCGCTTCACAAATTTTTGATTTTCAAACCTAGAAATTTCACTTGAAACGAGCCAGCATCAATTCCAAATGGCTCAATGTTGATCTCATTTGTTTTTGAGTTGAGGTGATCTACTATAAACGCCATAGAACTTATATTTGTTTTGAATTGCACAAATCTCTTAGTGAAAACATTCTTCATTTTGTTTACAATCATGCTAAAGTGATTTATGTTAATACTAGTATTGGTTTCATTTTTTCATATTGTTACAGATTTTTCGAAATTAAGTAATTTACCACTCTCCGTGTCTATAACAAAAACAAGTAATTTTTTTTTTAGAAACAATCCACTGCTTCAAGCAAGGTATGGGTTTTCCTTTCCTTGCAGCTGTACATTTAGCTCGTTTAGTTTCTTCGTGTTGTCCCACCTCTGCCATGTAACGCTACTGCACGTGACCAAAGTATCCCATACCACCCCAGAACTCCCCCCCCCCCCATCCCACACACACGCACTTTAATTTTCCATAGAACAAACTCCTCAGGTAGCCACAGTCCGCCTAGATGTTTATTACCTTCTACTTACCTGCCCACAAGCCACACGTGTGCCCACACATTCCATAAGTCACCCACACATTGCGTAAATCTCCCACACACCCCTAAGTCAATCAACCAACACCCCAAAAGTCCCCAAACCCCACCAAACCCCACCACAAATCTTCCTGAACCCCTTATTAACCCCTTTATATATATATATATATATATATATATATATATATATATATATATATATATATATATATATATATATATATATATATATATATATATATATAGGATTGTAAACATGAAAAAAAATTTGAACCCCTGCCAAGACCAATTTCTGGCTACGCCACTGGAGTAAAGTACCACTGCCTTAATTCAGAATTTGTTCGTAAGTCGAATCAAACCTGCGCATGTTGCCCTACATGTATATTTAACTATCCTTTTACTTAAATAAAACGGTACGGTACACGGGTTATAGGATAAGAAGAAACCGGATGTAGAATAAATATGCCATCCGGTTACCGGAATCACTTAAAAGTTGATACAAAACTAAAAATTAAAATTACGCTGACATAAGAAATTTTGTAAACCGATCTGAAAAAGTGCTGACGTTAACGTTTTCATGCACACACACACACACACACACACACATATATATACGCTCAAATCCACCACCATTACACACACATACAGAGAGACAGACATACTCAACAAGTTGCGAACTACGTTTTTACTACTCACAATGTTCTTAACGCCTTTTCCTCGGTTTGCTCTTTCTCATCGATCTAATGATTACTGAAAATATGAGAGACAAATTAAATTTTGTTTTAAATCATGAACCTCTGATAACACGTAAATTTTTGGAATAAATCTGCTCTTAGAACCGCGATGCGTGCAATTTTTCGACTTCCTCTCGGCGCCTGAGTGATCATACGGCAACACAGCGACTTTAAAATCTTTACGGCTACAATTTTTCGACTTCCTCTCGGCGCCTGAGTGATCATACGGCAACACAGCGACTTTAAAATCTCTACGGCTACAATTTTTCGACTTCCTCTCGGCGCCTGAGTGATCATACGGCAACACAGCGACTTTAAAATCTCTACGGCTACAATTTTTCGGAGCTGATCTTTCAGTGACGGTACCGTTAGGTTCCTAGCTGTTTTACTAGATGGTTTAACTTCTGCCGTCTGTTGTGTTTCCAGCTTACACATTGTCTGACGACAATGTTTAACTGTCTACGTGTTTTGAGATTAAGACCCGTTTAATGGCAACTTTGAATCGTATACAAGTAAATTGTATTTTTAGTCAAACGTCAAAAGACAACAAGATAATCGGCTATCTAAAATAAGAATAAACAAAAGCTACATATATAGTAAAATAATTTTAACTTACTAACAAACAGCAAGAGGATGCCAAATGCAATGAAGTAGAAACTGTCTGCTTTTTCTTCAGTTCTGTAAGTAAAGAATGTTTGCAGTGTACATAGTGTTATTATCGGGAACATGGCATTACCCGCACCCCGCTCAATTCCCCCCTCCCAGACATCTCCTCTGACGTAATTACCCACCCACTTACTCTTTATTGGCAGGTTCAGCTACAGGCGGATCATTTTTTAGCGGTTCCGGCGGCTCCATTGTGAGTCTGTAAGTAAAGAACAGGAGTAGGCCGTTTATACAGTTTATATAGATACATTGAAAGTTTAACTGATAAATATATTGGTACATCAAATAGATTGATATACCAAATAAATAAGAACCGAGAAAGGCGGGTTAGCAACACAATGTAATGAAGGTCTATGTAAGTAAAAGCAATCTTACGTTTCATTTGCTGGCTCGGCCTTGGCGGGTTCAACTTTCTGCCTGCAAGTTAAAGAACAAAGTATACAGTTTATATTAATACACAGATACATAAAGTGATTAATAAATTAGATAAATTAACTCAAGAAGAAGGTAGGTCAGTAGGGAGTTAGTTGGATATAAAATCAAGAAGTTTTTAAATAAACCTACATTAGTAAGAAAACTTACTCTTCACAGCAGACGTCTCGCCATTCACCGCAGCAGCCGTGAGGACATTCAATGGTGTGGTGGCTGGACAGTCCGATGCCAATAATCGCATTTAATACCTCGAAATAACTGCCCCCATGGTCACTCCACACCGTGCAATTCTCAGCGTTCAGGCCTGAAGACAATAATAGCAGTAGTCATTAGCTGCATGCCAGAGTTCATGGAAAATGGCATTGTTCACGCACACTTTTAGACAGACAGACAGACAGACAGACAGACAGACAGACAGACAGACAGACAGACAGACAGGCAGGCAGGCAGGCAGGCAGGCAGGCAGGCAGGCAGGCAGGCAGGCAGGCAGGCAGGCAGGCAGACAGACAGACAGACAGACAGACAGACAGACAGACAGACAGACAGACAGACACAAACATTACGATATCTTACCAGTGAACTGCAAAAGAAAAATAAAGAACCACATCCAACATTTCCTATTGTAGCAACCGGCATGATAGGTACGGTGCTCCACTTCCACAACTATCTTGGCCTGAACTATGGCCGTGGCCAATTCAGTCCCATCCTGTCCCAGCTCTTCCCCCATGTGGGCATTTTCTGTGACCAGGATCGATACAGGCTCCTTTTGCCTGGTGAGTAACATAGGCGTCATCTCTGCCCCACGAGAGTCGATAATGTTTGGACCCTGTCTTTTGTTCTGCCTGTGGTCATGTGCCACGGATGGCTGAGGCTGGTTCCAGAACTCCATCTGCAAATACATGTCGTAGTAACGTTAATCCTGTGACATCATTTAGTGGGGTGAGACAAATACATGTCGTAGTAACGTTAATCCTGTGACATCATTTAGTGGGGTGACATGTCGTAGTAACGTTAATCCTGTGACATCATACAAATACATGTCGTAGTAACGTTAATCCTGTGACATCATGCAAATACATGTCGTAGTAACGTTAATCCTGTGACATCATGCAAATACATGTCGTAGTAACGTTAATCCTGTGACATCATACAAATACATGTCGTAGTAACGTTAATCCTGTGACATCATGCAAATACATGTCGTAGTAACGTTAATCCTGTGACATCATACAAATACATGTCGTAGTAACGTTAATCCTGTGACATCATGCAAATACATGTCGTAGTAACGTTAATCCTGTGACATCATTTAGTGGGGTGACACCAAGGTAAAAAAATTGCAAACTATATACAGAGAAATGATAATTACACTTAATTTAATTAAATGGTTGAGTAGAGTGAATTCAATAGTTTTTAAGAGCAAAGTGGACAAAGAGGTGGATGGGGGTGACACCATGACGTAAACCTGCTAACGATAAAAAAAAAACATGCAACATCAAGCTGTTTTTTAAACCAAATATAGATACAAATCTTTAGTATTATATCTGAACACATTTTAAAGTAATCACAGTGGGGGTTACGGGTGGGGGGGAGAGAGTTACATCACCTCAACGTTGCAATATATGTGCCTGAGGAAAACGGTTTGTTTGAGAATCGTAATAACCTACATGCTAATCCATGCAAGGGGGGGGAGTAAAAAAATTAAATACATCCTAAAGGAAACAAATGAATACATTACACATGAGTATATACATACAAGTGAGTATGTATATATATATATATATATATATATATATATATATATATATATATATATATATATATATATATATATATATATATATATCAGCATGGTGCAAACTAGCTAAATAAGAGAAAACAATGCTACATGCGGTTTAAAGCTATCAACTGATGTGGGGGAGGGGGGTCACACCCACTGAAAACTTTACTAAATGTATAGTAGAAAATATTTTTGTTGAGAATTGTGATAACTGATACGTCAATCATCGGCTGCAGCGGTAGTGATAAAACAAAAAAATATCAACATCAACATTAAATCAAAAACATAAATTTTTAGTTTCAATCAATAAAAGTTAGAAATTAATGCTTTTAAAAATGGATTTATAATATAGTGTATGCACAAATTAACTGCTAATTAATTTATCAACGGTAAATTACTAATCAAGTATATTATTATACAACACCCTGCGAATAGTGAGGTGTGTCTGTGTGTGTGTTGCAAAGTAATTAATTGGGTTAATAAGTATTCCTACCATTTATTCTTATTATCCATTATCTTCTGCATCAATACAAAAACATGACGATCAGAGAAAATGTATTTAAAATTAAACCCTACCTATGTGTTCATTTCAACCACCTTATAGATGGGAATGAGGCCCAGAAAAATTTATAAAACGAGACTCGAGATATGAGCTAAAATATAGCGACTTCGGGTGGATTGCACCCAGTCGCCGGGGACCAAATAGATAGGAATCGACGTCCTAACAGCATGATTTGCAATGCCAAGTTGAGCTGTGTTTCTTCCAGACTTTTTTCTCCGGGGGCGGACACTGTTAAAAGTATCTATTTTCTATATATAAATTATATAAATTTCATTTCGTTCGGGGGGGGGGGGGTGGAGGAAGCGGTAAAAAAATTTCGGTGGGGGGGGGGCAAAGCCCCGAAGAGATGCCTGGAAGAAACTCTGCAAGTTGAGATGTTCTAGTATAGCGTCGGCAAAACTAAGAGATCACTTTCTTAAGCTGCATTGAGATGGAGAATATAAGAACATAATACTCGCTAAAATGAACGGGTGTCTGAAATGCAACAGCAGAAGTCAAACTTATTTCCAGCAAACATTCATTATTTCGTTTTTGCTTTGGTGTGAAATAGTTTTGTTCTTTGAGCGGTGCTGATGCACGGTTCATTTTGTGCAAAAGTAAATTATACACCTATGTTTTGAATTTCAAAAAACAAAATAATTATTTTCTCCGATTAAGAAGGATTCGGTGAATACACATAGGAATCTGGTGGGGTTTGGTAGATCCAAAAACGTTAAAAACCAAGGGAAATTTTTGTAATCGTGCAACAAATCAAATGAGATTCGTCGGTTTTCGCAGTTTACACCTACCTATTATCGTTACGGAGTAAAGTGGTACTACTGTAATCATACAAGAAATATAAATGTTGATTTTGACAAATCTCCACGTTTTAACCTTTTTGAGCCGGTAAACTTAGGTTTGCAATCTTGTTTATCATCCTGTCTGTCTGTCTACGTGTGTGTAAAAACCGATAACTTAAGTAGGCCTACTATTTATGATTTTTTTCTCTCTCAATTTTTTAGCAATTTCCTGTAGATGGAGTAGGTACTATACTTTACTTCCGTTTTTTTTTCAAAAGGCAATAACACGAGTTTAAATTAGGTGGACGAATGCCTAATATAAATAATAAATTATATCTGCAGATTTCTACAAACCTGTGGACGATTCGCGGCTACTGGGATTGGTGCTTTACTTATTGTTCCGTGGGATAACAAAAAACTGATAACTGTTTCAGTTAGGTAGATAAAATTTAACATATAAGTAAAAGATCTGAAAAATAGGGAGGACCTGAAATATCTGAAAGTTGAACTTAACTCTATTTCATGAGCATGGGCACGAACGTCAATGTGAACGTCAATGTGAACGTCATCATCAACGTCAATGCGAACGTCAACTTGAACGTCAATGTGAATGTCAATGTGAACGTCAATGTGAACGTCAACATCAACGTCAATGTGAACGTCAATGTGAACGTCTACATCAATGTGAACGTCAATGTGAACGTCAACATCAACGTCAATGTGAACGTCAATGTGAACGTCAATGTGAACGTCATCATCAACGTCAATGTGAACGTCAATGTGAACGTCAATGTGAACGTCAACATCAACGTCAATGTGAACGTCAATAGGAACGTCAATGTGAATGTCAATGTGAACGTCAATGTGAACGTCAATGTGAACATCAACGACAATGTGAACGTCTACATCAATGTGAACGTCAATGTGAACGTCAACATCAACGTCAATGTGAACGTCAATGTGAACGTCAATGTGAACGTCAACATCAACGTCAATGTGAACGTCAATAGGAACGTCAATGTGAATGTCAATGTGAACGTCAATGTGAACGTCAATGTGAACGTCAACATCAACGTCAATGTGAACGTCAATGTGAACGTCAATGTGAACGTCTACATCAATGTGAACGTCAATGTGAACGTCAACATCAACGTCAATGTGAACGTCAATGTGAACGTCAATGTGAACGTCAACGACAATGTGAACGTCAATGTGAACGTCAACGACAATGTGAACGTCAATGTGAACGTCTACATCAATGTGAACGTCAATGTGAACGTCAACATCAACGTCAATGTGAACGTCAATGTGAACGTCTACATCAATGTGAACGTCAATGTGAACGTCAACATCAACGTCAATGTGAACGTCAATGTGAACGTCAATGTGAACGTCATCATCAACGTCAAATGTAAACGTCATCATCAACGTCAATGTGAACGTCAATGTGAACGTCATCATCAACGTCAAATGTAAACGTCATCATCAACGTCAATGTGAACGTCAATGTGAACGTCATCATCAACGTCAATGTGAACGTCAATGTGAACGTCAATGTGAACGTCATCATCAACGTCAATGTGAACGTCATCATCAACGTCAATGTGAACGTCAATGTGAACGTCAACATCAACGTCAATGTGAACGTCAATGTGAACGTCAACATCAACGTCAATGTGAACGTCAGTGTGAACGTCAACATCAACGTCAATGTGAACGTCAATGTGAACGTCATCATCAACGTCAATGTGAACGTCAACATCAATATCAATGTGAACGTCATTGTGAACGTCATCATCAAAGTCAATGTGAACGTCAACATCAACATCAATGTGAACGTCAATGTGAACGTCAACATCAACGTCAATGTGAACGTCAGTGTGAACGTCAACATCAACGTCAATGTGAACGTCAACATCAACGTTAATGTGAACGTCAGTGTGAACGTCAACATCAATGTGAACGTCAGTGTGAACGTCAACATCAACGTCAATGTGAACGTCAATGTGAACGTCAACATTAACGTCAATGTATACCTCAACGTGAACAAAGACGTTAAGGTTAACAAACACAAAAACAAAGATTCTTTCTTTGTCTAAATCAACTACCGGCAAGTTTGACGTCCGTCATGGTAAATAATATTGCTTAATTAACGCAGCAGTGAACAGCCGGGTTGGTTTACTAAATACTTTAAAACTCAGATATTGTGTTATCATTTTGGAGTTACAAAAACTTAATTCTGAGGTTTTCGTTGAACTTTGTCGGATGCATTTGATTTTTAATTTTTTTTAGGTAATCAAATTTTTATTTAAAAAACAAATTTGTAAGTTTTCATACTGTCACTGAAAATGTAAATGATATTTGCATAACTAGGATATGTGGCTTTAAAAGTAGACAGTTATTTAAATTTTATCGACAAAGTTTGAGTACAAATGACAACAGTGGGGCTTTCAGAAGATCAATCACTCTCCTGTACAGCCAACTAGCGCTTGTCCTATGTAAGTAATACTTCATGTTTTTTCATGAAAATAAAAACAACCATAGCTTTATATTTTCAACTAGTTCTTTGGATTTAGAAATGTTTTAAGATTATATTTTTTTCACGATTAATTTTTAATTTTTTAAAAATATTTTTACGGCGCTTTGATGACATCATTAAAAACGATTTTTATCTCTGTCAAAATTAATTAAAGATGATTTCATCTTGTCAACTTGGTGGCATATACTTAGATTTTAGATGTTTTTAAACCACATACTTATGAACATGAATCTTCTTTGTTTATTTTTGTTGTTGACAATGAGCGCAACTTTGTCTTTAGTTCAACAATTGTGTCAAATTGAGAACAAATAGTAAAGTTGCGGTCGTCTCCGCACGGTGCGCACTGCAATATTTAGTGTTCAAATCATTTGGTTAAATCAGAAGACTGAAAAAAATGCATAAAGAACATAAGTACAGAGTTTTAAAAAAAATACGATAACAAAAACAAAATTGCATATTACTTATTTTAATTAAATAACTAAAATGTGCAATCTTTCATTAAGGGATAATCTAATCTACTGCAGTAGCATAAATGGCTGGGGCACTGGAAGATTAATCTATATAAGGTTCTTTAGATAGAGCTGATGGCTTGACTCATCCTCAATCAAGCATATAATTATTCATAACAGATTCAAGCTTTCTATTCTTTAAAATATAATACACGGTTCTAGGTGCTTTGTCAATAGGTGTTTGAACAAAAGCTACTTGACTACAATGTAGTTTGACCATAGGACCTTTGTCCATCGGTGTTTGAACAAAAGCTACTTGACTACAATGTAGTTTGACCATAGGACCTTTGTCCATAAGTGTTTGAACAAAAGCTATTTGACTACAATGTAGTTTGACCATAGGACCTTTGTCCATAGGTGTTTGAACAAAGGCTATTTGACTACAATGTAGTTTGACCATAGGACCTTTGTCCATAAGTGTTTGAACAAAAGCTATTTGACTACAATGTAGTTTGACCATAGGACCTTTGTCCATAAGTGTTTGAACAAAGGCTATTTGACTACAATGTAGTTTGACCATAGGACCTTTGTCCATAAGTGTTTGAACAAAAGCTATTTGACTACAATGTAGTTTGACCATAGGACCTTTGTCCATCGGTGTTTGAACAAAGGCTATTTGACTACAATGTAGTTTGACCATAGGACCTTTGTCCATAAGTGTTTGAACAAAAGCTATTTGACTACAATGTAGTTTGACCATAGGACCTTTGTCCATAGGTGTTTGAACAAAGGCTATTTGACTACAATGCAGTTTGACCATAGGACCTTTGTCCATCGGTGTTTGAACAAAAGCTATTTGACTACAATGTAGTTTGACCATAGGACCTTTGTCCATAAGTGTTTGAACAAAAGCTATTTGACTACAATGTAGTTTGACCATAGGACCTTTGTCCATAAGTGTTTGAACAAAAGCTATTTGACTACAATGTAGTTTGACCATAGGACCTTTGTCCATAGGTGTTTGAACAAAAGCTATTTGACTACAATGTAGTTTGATCATAGGACCTTTGTCCATCGGTGTTTGAACAAAAGCTATTTGACTACAATGTAGTTTGACCATAGGACCTTTGTCCATAAGTGTTTGAACAAAAGCTATTTGACTACAATGTAGTTTGACCATAGGACCTTTGTCCATCGGTGTTTGAACAAAGGCTATTTGACTACAATGCAGTTTGACCATAGGACCTTTGTCAATAGGTGTTTGAACAATGGTTATTTGACTACAGTGTAGTTTGACCATAGGAACTTTGTCCATAGGTGTTTGAACAAAGGCTATTTGACTTCAATGTAGTTTGACCATAGGAGCCTTAGGTGGTTTGTCTACGTGTTGTTTTTATAGCAGTAATAATAAAATGCCATAAGATTCAATTTATGATAGAACTAAAACAATTTAATCTGACACGTTTCCTTTTGGTTGATATTAATATAAATTTACGTGTACTAAAAAAAGTTAATAACAGTTTCTTTAATCCCAAAAGTCTGATGCTAGGCCTACTAGATCAGTGTTTCTTCCAGACTTTTTTTCCGGGGGGGGGGGGGGGTACTTGAAATTTTCGGGGGGGAGGCGGTAGACTTTCTTCGGGGGGGGGGGGGGGGGCGGACACTGTCAAAAGTATATATTTTCTATATAAATTGTATAATTTCATTTCTTTCGGGGGAGGGGCCTGGAAGAAACACTGTACTAGATTTATTAAAAACACAAATTGAGCATAATAATACCGACTGCCATGGAAACAACACATTTTTGGGTGATTACTGTATAGATGAGGGTGTAGACCGTAATGACATTCTTCGCAATTGATTGTATTTGCAGTGCCATCGCCAAGCGCCTGCGTTTGATTTCACGTTAAAACTGTAATTAAATTTTTTACCACAATCACTTTCTATAGAAAAGTTTAATCAACTTCAAGAAATTTATTCCAATTGTTAGCGCGGTTTGATAGAAAGGTATTCGTTGTGGGTGTGTGTACAGTTCGCACAAAAAAAAAACCGTGACACAAAAGAACGGTGTTAAAAAAAATATAGTCAAATGCGGGAGTGATCTCCTCTAAACTTTCTCAAATATTCTTACTACGGATGATGGCAATTCGGGAATAAGACATGATTTTTACAAGCTTTTATTTGTTTGCTTCCTCTTCCTGTCTGTCGCCAGTCTGTCTAGATTGAAACGCCCGAGCGAAATTTCTGGCACTTCTAACTGATGTTCTATTAAGTTGACACGTGTGTCAAGATATAAAGATAATGCAATTTGACATTAAATTTGACTAAATTGGATGCCTAATTATTTTTTTATGAATTAATTAATATGTTTTCCAAATTAGTAAGTAGTCTTGTCCAACTATTAAACGAGCATTATTGTGCTCATCAGGCACGCAATGGTTTTTACTCTTGCAACTCTATTGCATTAAAAAAATTAAAGTACGGAAAAAATGTTAATAAAAAACGTTGATGTAATAATGCACTAAAAGTAGAAAGTAAATAATTGTCCTTAAATATTTAAATATATAATAATACAGTAGTATTTAAATTACCATAAAGAATTTTTTTAATTAATTAATTAAAATTCGGTACACATTAGTAGGCTGTCTTATCTAATACCGCACTATTAGACGCGCGTTTTGATCTTCATTAGGTGCGTACTACTTCCGGTTCATGAAAAGCGCTAAACTGTAAGAAAACAACGGAAACAGGGCAATATCCCTCCCCCGTCAATAAACCATCCCCCCCCCCAACCTCCTGGACATACCCCCCACCTTACCCCCAGATTAATTACTCCCTTGTCAATTACCACCCGCCCAGTAGGACATTACCGACAATCCCCCTCCCCGAGCATACCTTAAGGTACAGCTAGGGTTAGGGTTGGGATTGGGGCTATGGCTATGGCTATGGCTATGGCTATGGCTATGGCTATAGCTATGGCTGTGGCTGTGGCTGTGGCTGTGGCTGTGGCTGTGACATTACCGACAATCCCCCTCCCCGGGCATACCTTAAGGTACAGCTAGGGTTAGGGTTGGGATTGGGGCTATGGCTATGGCTATGGCTGTGGCTGTGGCTATGGCTATGGCTATGGCTATGGCTATGGCTATGGCTATGGCTATGGCTATGGCTATGGCTATGGCTATGGCTATGGCTATGGCTATGGCTATGGCTATGGCTATGGCTATGGCTATGGCTATGGCTATGGCTATGGCTATGGCTATGGCTATGGCTACGGCTATGGCTACGGCTACGGCTACGGCTACGGCTACGGCTACGGCTACGGCTACGGCTACGGCCAAACTTAAACCCAGGGTTAGGTTTTCCATTAGGGTTAGCATTAAGGTTATGGTTAGAATTAGGGCTAGGGCTAGGGCTAGGGCTAGGGCTAGGGCTAGGGCTAGGGCTAGGGCTAGGGCTAGGGCTAGGGCTAGGGCTAGGGCTAGGGCTAGGGCTAGGGCTAGGGCTAGGGCTAGGGCTAGGGCTAGGGCTAGGGCTAGGGCTAGGGCTAGGGCTAGGGCTAGGGCTAGGGCTAGGGCTAGATTTAGGGTTAGGGTTAGGATTAGGGTTAGAGATATGATCAAGTTTAGGCTTAAAACTATGTTTAATGTGATTTTATGTTAAGTTTTAGGCTGAGGTGATTGCTTTGGTTTTGCTATTTTTCTTAAGGTTAGTATTAAGGTAATTTGAGTAAGAGTCAGGATTCTAACTTGAGTGGGTGGAGGGGGGATTAACAAGGGGTAATTGACAAGGGGAATGTCCGGTGGGTAATTGACAGTGGGGGGGGGGGGTAATGCCCTTTAGCTGAAAACAACATATTTGATATATTTTATTTTTTTAAATCAGGTAAGCATAACCGAAATAGTACTCAAATTACACTCAGACACACACAAACAAACACACTCACAGACGCAGGCTGACATGATTGCAGAATTAGATCAAAATTTGTCAGTCTTGATTTAGGTATTTTCGCACCCTTACAAAACATTCTTTACGATCCGTACATGATGAATAAGGAGTTGTAAAACGGAGACAACTGTCAAAATTTCATGTAATGTTTTATTCAATGCTTCATAACATCGTTAATAAAAGAAACATTTCTGAATTAATTTCCAGAACTTCACTTAAAGGATTTGTGTAATCTGCTAACACACGACAGAAAGTGTGGCAGTAAGTGATTATATTCTTATGTGTCTACAGCACTTAACAGTTCCACGAGCGCCCAGTCACAAAGTCAGATTAAACTTCACGTACTTTATTCTATAAAATACACGCATGAGCTGTCAATGGAAAATGTGCAAGCAAGCGACATTCATCACAACTCTCTAGCTTCTTGCAATAAATAAAGTCTCTAACTTGCGATAGAACAAAGTATCAGCCCTAAAACACCAATTGAGTCTACATTTTAACTAGGACAGCAATATCTGGTGACTGGTTCATCAGCACGCACTTACATTCAGTGGCGTAGCGAGGTCGGGTGTCACCCGGTGCGGCACTTAATGGTGTCACCCCCCCCCCCCCCAGAGGCATAGAGACCCTTCCCAGGGACAAACTTTCAAATTTTCGATTTGCACCCCCCCCCCCTCAAGTTTTCGATTTGCACCCCCCTCCCTCAAGTTTTCGATTTGCACCCCCACACCTCAAACTTTCGATTTGCACCCCCCCCCCCTCGAGTTTTTCTCTATATATTTTGCTGTTTTTTGCCTTGGTGTCACACCCCTAAATGGTGTCACCCGGTGCGGTCCGCACCCCCCGCCCCCCCCCCCTCGCTACGCCCC